TTAAAAATTGATAATAAATTTTATGGCGCTATTGCTAAAAATATTATATTAAAATGTTCAAATAATACTCTAATTAATACATTTTTAAATGAAGCAGATATTTTTATTATGACAATTTTAGAATATTTACAATCAAAATTTAATTTTAATAACTCTATTTAAAATGTATAAATATGACCTTGGAACAGAAACCATCACTTGATAGTTTTCGTAATTTAATAAATATATTAAAAATACTGAAAAACATTGATGTCTTGTTTGAGGAGATTGTAATTCCCTCTATATTTTATGATTAGCCAGAATACTTAAAGTTAGATGGTCTAAAAGTAGAGGAGAAATGGGTTGAATTTTTTCGTAATACAATAAATCTCCATGCTTTGAAAAAATATGCGAGTATGTCTTCTCCTTACCTCATTTTAATACCTCATCCGAGCGCATTTTTAGCCTGATGAGGACTGCCTGGAAAAAGGAGAGAAATCGGATTGCTTTAACAACTTTAGAGGCCGAGCTAATGGTTAAACAAATTTATAATATGTCATGCCAGGAATTTTATAAGTATCTCAATAACGACGGTAAACGTTTAGTTCCATTATTTAAATCTCAAATAAAATATAATTAACATTATAACTACTTAATTTTCCATCTTTTTTTTATATTTTATAAAATCTTATTTATACATTCACATAAAATAAATATATTTTTTACATTGTAAATCAAAAATAGAGAGCATTACAATCTTCTCAAACAAGACATCAATGTCTATCGGTATTTTTAAAATACATTTTAATATAGTTTTATCAATGGCGCCATAAAATTTATTGTCAATTTTTAATTGTAAAGATGAACACATCTGCAGCATAATTTTGTGAATATTTGTTAAGATTCTTCTGATTGCAACTGCAACAGCATGTAGTAGATTTCCTACATGTGAAAATCAATCCTAAATATACCTCTGCCATTCATTATTGAAAAAAATTTTCAAAATGTTAGGACAGCTTTTATATTCTTTATTTAATAAATTTATTTATAAAGGTTTATAAAATTTTAAGATTCTATCGATGGCGGGTATTAGGAACATATCGCAACCATTATTGTGCTGACTCCTTTCTGTAAATACACTCTGGTTTTTTCCAAATTCACTGAGGCATTATCAGATCAGAAAGCTGACAAGCAATTTATTGATAATCCCGAATCTGCTATATTTACCATTATATGGTTAACTTTTTCTTTGGATTATTCACTATTTAAGGGGAAAAATTTAATCGTTTTCTTGAAACGTCCTTAATTTTGTTGAAATAGCGGAGGATCAATATTTCCCTAATTAGATGCACCTGTTAGAATTGCATATGTATGACTTCTTTCAAATTGTCAAGAATTGACCTCCTGAATTCAGGTTCTAAAACATTGATGATAACATTGCTCATTTTTGTTATACAAGTAAAGTTTTCATTTATCTTGAAGTCGTTAAATATTATGGGGAAAGATTCTACGCACATTGTAATGATAAGTAGCTCTGTGAATGTTGTACTACAAGATAAGTGATTACAATTGCCGTAACTGTAGTTGCATCTATATTATTTCTTATTTTTGGAGAATATTTTTGTTTTGCAATGGATGTAGATACACTCTCCTGCACTAATTATAATAATGTGATTGAACAATAATAAATAAAATAATTATCATTGAAATGAGTACAATATTACCTTATTATGTATTTAAACGTGATACGTGATTCCCTATAATGTTATACACACACAAGATAGATTTCCAATTGCGGATGTTTTGCGGGGACATTCGCATAAAATATATTTTTTGCATTGTAAAATTTAATTTTTAAAAAATTTTATCTTGTTTACATTCTTTTATATTTAAAAATGATCGTTGGTTTTTTTATAAATTAATATATTTTAATAAATCAAGATGTTATTTTATTTTGAAAGATAGTTACCGACTGTATTTATAAAATAATTATAAAAAAGAATAGGCGGATAATTAAGTCAATTCAAAATCCCGGCCGAAGGCCGGCAAAAATTTTTTTTTAGCTGTAATTTTCATATTTCTCCCGCAAAATACCAAATTTCTCCCGTAATTTAAAAATTTGATCCTACACATGGTGAAATTGTTTCCGATATCAATAATCCACTTTATGAAATATCTGCAGGCATTATTGATGTAGTTGCTTCTGACAAGTGTTACGATAATAAAGATAGAATTGTGTAATTGTAGATAATGTAATTTTAGGGTATTTGAATGATTTATCTGCTGTAATGGTGAATAATATAGCTTTAGGTGTGTGGCAATGTTTAAACTGATGCAATAATAAATGAAGATGTTGCAGACATTGGAGTTGTTTCAGGTAGATGTGAATGGGAGGTAGTTGTTGATATTCCTAAAATAATAGTTTTTTTTACATGTAGTAATAATATTAGAAATACTTGATATTGATTTATCAACGAAAGATAATTTAAATTTAGTACCAACTGCTTTGAGACCAGTAGCATTTTTTTCTCTTAATTTTTCAGCTCCACCTTTAAATTTCTTTTTGCATTTCTATGCATGATATTTAAAAGTATATCAATTTAACTAAAAATAACATATTGTGTACACTACCCATGATAAATTAAATATAAATAAGATAAGTGTAAACTTAAATTTAACATAATTTTTTTTAAATAATTGTATTTTAATATAAGTCTATTAAGTCATCATGTTAGTTTAACTTTTCATATGATGTTGCATACAGAGTTGTACAAAAGATCTTCTTTGAAGATTTTTGAGCGAGATCTAGCTCAAAAATTTGAGCAAGATCTTTGAAGATCTTTTATTTTTTAAAAATTTTGTGTAACGATCTTCAAAGATCTTCATGATATTTATTTTTTTACTCCTTTATTAAAAGCCCAGATGTTTTTCAATTTTCATCAGGGCAGGAGGAGAGGTATAAAACATAAAAGAAATATTATATTAATAAAATTGAAAAACATCTGGGATTTTAATAAAGGGTAAAAAAATAAATATCATAAAGATCTTTGAAGATCGTTACACAAAATTTTAAAAAAATAAAAGATCTTCAAATTTTACGATCTTCAAGGATCTAGATCTTTGAAGATCTTTTTATTTTGAGCAAATGTACAACTCTGGTTGCATAAAACATTTATTATTATTAATTTATAGCTTAAGACTAAAAATATCTCAAAATATGAACTGGAAATTCAAATAAAATTCATGTTTCATATAAGATTACTGATTTTTCTAAAAATCTGATGAACCAGCTAATAATAAAACATTAAGTTGTTTACTTTTGACTTTTTACATACGTCTCAATTCAATGATCATATAAAGGGTGTAAAAATAGCTATATAAAGTTGAATGTACAATAAATTTTACTGAAAATATTTGTAAATGATAAGTAAATTGTTGTAATCATTTTAACAATTTGTGTTCGTTGAGCTTGGTTAGTAATAAAATGGCATAAATTAACCCTTAATGGTCAAGATTTTTCTAATAGATAAAAATGCTCAATTTTTTCAAATTATATTGATTAGTGTTCAAATATGATATTCTAAAAAAATCAGTCGAAAAAAATAATCCTAAATAGAAAATCTAGCCTGGTGCGTATCTGCACCGTTAACCTAAGAGGTTAAAAAAGATAAAAATTATGTATAATACTATAAGATCAGAAATCTTTATTCTTTTTTTCTGTAATTTATAATAAAAACGAGAAAATGTTTATATATTATGAAAATCCTTGAAACATTTAGTATGGAGTGTGATTTGACATGTTTGACACATATATTTTGAGTGCGTATGGCAATATCTGCATCTACGTATTTTTCCATCTATAATTTTGGATAAATAATTTCCAGATAAATCAGTAGGGTTTTCGCTCTGTAATGCAAACTGGCTTATGTGCCCTGTCCTTAAATTTTTTTTAATTTTTATTGGAGTTCAAAGGAAATAGTAACTTCTCACCTAAATGCAAGCAATCTCTTTTTCTCATCTCGATTCATGAATTTCCAAATTTTCCACGAATTTACCAAAGCTACATCAATAAAATTTGTGAATATTGGCCACCGCCCTTTTTTTCCTCTTTTTATTCTATAGTAGATATGGGATTATCACACAGATCAACTCCACCCATGTGTTTGTTATAAGCAGTGATCATATTTGATTGAGGAATTTTTATTTTAGAATATTTTCTTGGAATACCTCGTCACCACCATATTATAATTCCAACGTTCTATAAATATTTTTTTTAATTTTTCGAACCTATAATCATAATATCCTCTTTCTTTTTTTGTTACAGCATTTATAGATTCAACTGGGCAATGCTCCCTTCTATTATCTCTCACAGTTCCAGTTGTAAAATATCCAATTTGTTTTAAGTATGACAAAAGCTTAATTGAGGTATAGAAATTATCAAAATATATTTTATGAATTATTATTTGCTAAAATAAAGATTTCTTTCACTGGATAATAACAATAGCATATTAGCAGTAATAATTTACCCAAAATTTAAGCTTAATTGGCCGTATATCAATCTGTTGCAAAATCTATTGTTAAAAAAATGGTTAATTACTTATTTGGAGGATGCTTATTCAAATGATTGTATAGATAAAACTGATAGTTTCTTTGATAAAAATTCATCGCAAAATGCTATTTCCCTTAATAATTTTTTTATTTATTCAAATGATGTTTCAATTAATATTTTAAATAATGATATTTAAAAAAAAATAACACCTTTGCCATCAAGCGCCCCAGTGGAAGGCTAAATATGTTATCAATGAAAGACGTGTTAGAAGATTTTTTGAGGATATCAATAGAACATATATAATTATGATTCTTATAAATAAGGCAATAACCCCCCCCCTCCCCCATTCGAATGATAATAATTTAGAATTTTTTTTATTATTTAGTGTTAAAATCGTTTATAAATAAATATTGTTATATTATTCTATTACAGTATATTTAATTTACTTTTATATTAGTTAATTTTGCATCGAGCAAAAATTTTATTCAAAAATTTATAAAATATGAAAAGGATCGTGAGCGTGATGGCAATCCTTTTGTTTAAAAAAGGTCGATCCTGGATTTCGATTATTTTAAAAGGATCGATTAACAAGCCTGACAGTAGGTAGCATATATTGTCGCCATCGACAAGACCATAGATAGAAAACAACAATCAAAATATAGAAAAATCAACAAAATCCAATGCTTAGCGCATTCCTAAAAATATAGAATTAGAAAATATCATATTTGACACACCACCTAAAATTTAGCACGGTGACTGGAATCCAATCGTTTAATTTTAGCAAAAATTTTATTTGCCCTTTTTAATATGAATAATTTTGAAACTTCAGCTATTGATGAGACAGGTTAACATATGCTTTTATATAATTAATTATTTATATCTATTTTTGTTAATATATTTTATTAGATACTGATAGTGAAACATCATCCATTCTTCACAAAACTATCAACAAAGATAAATCAACTGACACAAAAAAACAAGCACATACACTTTCAGAGCAAAGACGTAGAGATGCTATCAAGGTATGTTATATTTTAAGCTCATGAATGGTAAAATAATTTTAATTGCCAATTATATCATTTTCCTACCTATCCTATAAGGCATATTAATTATTATTGATATATTAATGATTTTAAGAAAGGATATGATGAACTGTCAGATCTATTGGCAACTTCAGATATTCCCACTTCACCATATATGATCAATCAAAATCCCTCTGATGATACTAATAAGGACAAAAATTTATACTATAATAAAATAAGCAAAGCTGCATTGTTACAAAAAAGTAATTTATATGTAATCAATAATTAATATTATGATTTCATAAACAGAGTTGCTAATGGATTGTGATTTAAGAATCAACAATCCTATTTAATATTAATTTTGAAAAATTGCTTTTAACTATCCTATAAAAAATGACTTCATGATAAAGATTGTTTTTACTTTTATATTATACAGATAATTTCTTTAAAGCAAATTTAGTTAAAATAAAAAATTTAAACACCATAATTTATTCAGAGATAGACCAACACCATAACTTTAGTTTATAATTTTCTGACCCAAACCCCAAACTTTATACCAAATAAATGGTAGAGAATAGAATTAGTATAATTTTTCTGAAACGGTTTAAAACCATTTTGTTTTATATATAATTGAATGTCAATTTAAGACCATATATTTGATATGATAAGTAGTAGCAAGGGGAGTTGGGAGGTGAATAGTATATGAATTTTTTAGAGGCATAGCAAAGATTTACAATTCTTGGTCTGTGGACAATGATTTGGGCTGGATGTAAAAATATTTTCAAAGAAAATATCTTATATTGAATTCTAATTTTATATCTGAAAAATATTTTGCATGAGTTGTCCAGCTCAATAATTTTTTATTCCCATCCACAAGACAGACATTAAAAATGTTCTGATGAATTTAATATTTAAAAAATGATCATATAAAAGTATTATTAATCATTTAAGAGAAGATTATAAAATACACTATTACTCAGTTTTTTTAGTTTTTATCCATTTTACTTATGTGCCCTAAAGGCTCATCTTTAAATTTTTTTGTATCCAAGTAGAATGATAATAGTAATTTGTTTAAGATTCTATTAAAATCAGAGTGACTCATTTTTCTGTATGAGTTATTAAAATATAGCATGTATTTTTTAATCAATTGTAATAAATGAACTGATTCTCATAAAAAAGGTCATTTAAAATATTTCCCATATAGATCAGCCAAAAATTATACTTTTTTGATCGATTTAACATGGATTGACTTTTTTTTATAAATAAAGCTCTTTGGAGTTAACTGTATCTATTTGATTGATAAAAGTGTGACTTTTAAGTTAAAATTCTGGGAACATCATTTTTAAATAATATATGTTATCATAAAAAATAACCACTATATGTGTTATCGGTTTTTTTATATTTGAGTGTCCCTTCCATCTCATAAAATATTTGCCTAATAATTCTAAATACAATGTGATTTATCAAAAAGTTTAGTAAAGCAAGAGGAATATTCTAAAGAATTGATATTAAAATCTTTAAAGCATAGGCTGTAATGTTCCCCTCACATCCTGACATTACTTTTGACATAGAACAAAACCCTGAAGAGAAATATCTTGAACACAAAGGTAAGAATAAAAATAACCACAGATAGAAAATGGGTATTTTTGTTTAAAAAATCTACCTGGATTCTACCTCACAATATGCCCTTTTGAGGATATTGAAATGCATCGTTAATTATAATTTTTATAATGATATATATAAATTTATACGTTTGTTTCTTTGTAAAAATAATAGAAGTTATTTTTAGCAGGAAATAATTAAACCTGATTTCTCTGCTTTTTTACAATGCGCCAAAAATTTTAACCAATTTAAAAAATTTCATGATAGTATAATATAATCAAATATTTAGAAGAATATTTGAATTATCTTGATTGACAACTAATTGTATTAAAAAAATTTATAGGAGTCACATTCTTAATTATTGTTTTCTCAGATTTGTGAAGAAAATTAGTGTTGTTGAGTCTAGTTCAGTCGAATTCGACTCAAAGTTGGTAGTCGTTAGTCAACTAATTTAGTTCAGAACTTGAGTCATGAACTTTTGTTATAAACTCGCGGACGAATTGTTTTCATAATTATTTTAATTAATTTTTATTTTCGTTTTTTATAGAAATAGATAAAATTAAAGATGTGGAAAGAATCGCCTAGCTATTTTTTTTGGTGAAAACCCCGTTTTTTTCTGTAAAAACCTTGATTTTTATTTTTACCTCAATTAGTTAATTTAAACATGATAATTAAATAAAAATATCTAAATGATTTAGAATCTTTTATTTAACCAATTATATTGCTCTTCCCAAATAATTATAATAAAGATTCAAAATGAATACTTTTACAACAAAACCTGTAAAATTCTTGCTCACTTATTTGTCATTATAGTCAAGTGGTATTGAGTTAGCCTAAATAACTAGCGATTCTTCTAAATAAGCTAGAAACCCCGAACAAAGTCGGTATCTTAGCCATTGAGGAATATATCACAAAATATTATAAAATTCAAAAAAGTACATTTTGTCAAAACAAGATGCGAAAAAAATTGTATTTTTAATATTTTTTGCCTATAAATAAAATAAAAAAATTTATGTCTAGTTTTTTAAAATTTACAATTCAAATATTCCTAAACATGAGCTGAACCAGAAATCAAACTCGGGTTTAAAAGTATTCCCCTTAGATAATTTTTTTACTTTGAACCGAACTAGGTTAATATTTTTACCGGGTTCACAAACCTGATTTATATCATTTTTTTGGTCATCGCTTTTAACATTAAAAAGAAACATTAGAAAATCAAATTGATCAAAAATTTATTTTATTAAAATTATTATACCTGGGTTTTATTTAATTTCAAAGAATTTATTTTTATAATAAATCAATGTATGAATAATACAATAAATTAATCAAAACTTACCTTTCACTCTACTCAAACTCAAACGGAAGCGTTTTCGAAAAAAAACAAAGCACGTGGTAATGATGTATAGCGTCAAGCGATGTTATTGATATTTTATGCATTAAAATATAGTCGATATAATAATTCTCAAGGAATGTAATATTCAAATAATAGAGATATCTTAAAAAATAAATAAATAAAAGAAAATAATGTGCACATAATAAAAAAAATTTTCTAATCGGCCTTTTTTAATATTTTCCTATGATAGGCCTCAAAAATTAACATCTTCTCGCGGCCTCATAGGCAAAATGCCCACCTGGTCTTATGGTCAGCCACCCCCTATGTCTATTATAGATCTAGAAGAAAATACTAATACATTTATTGAAGTGAAAGATATAAATGAGAACCATTTACGTACCGTATATTGATGTTATAATTTGGTTTTGTTAGGCCTAACTTTATAAAATCTATCATGTATATGTTTTTAGTATTGTGTCAAATGAATATTACATTTCAAATTTAGTAATTCTAATTGAGTCACTGTATTCCGGATTATTGGAATAGAAATATCACTATTATTAGACCAATACATCTTTTACTGTGGGAACGAATGATATCTAGTAAATAATAGAATTCTAATAAATCTAATATATGGAATGGTTATACATTATTAGACCTATTCATTTGTTTTGCATAAATATTACTTTGATCTACAATTAAGGAATATAAATCTTCGCCGAAAATTAAAAAATATATCTGATGGAATTTTACCTTGCAAATTGTCTTCAAGTTTTATTACATCTTAATTTTCCCCATTGAAAGGGATTGTAGAATATAACATATCTTTCTCCATTTTAAATGGCGAGAAATTACAGAATTGCTTCTTGTAGTAGATGGTTCTGGAATGTCGTCATAAATTGAATTATGAATTTCCAATTCACCAGCAGTATCTGAAGGTAAAACTCCCTCATTTGTTAAGTCATTCTAGAAACGATTCATTTAAATATTTTTATTTAAAATTAAATATTTAGTAGAATCTTGATTTTTTTAATTAGCCATCTATTATATTGATTGAATAAAACAGGTGCATAAGAAAAAAAATGTTCAGCAAGGAAGAGGGTACAAATAATTAAAAATTTTTATGAATAATTTTAATTTTCGAATATTTATGAACCAAATATTTACGAATAATTTCATATAATTAGGTCGAGATAAAAAATTATAAAAGAAACATATTATTCGATTCTCATGGGGCTCAAAAATATTTTCAAAAGATCTTTTTTTGGGTATAAAATTTTTTTTCAAAACTTAGTAATGGTAATAGTTTTAAGTATAATATAAAAAATTATAATTCATTATATTAAATTTGATTTTGAATTTTTTAAAATAATTTATACTGCTAGATGGTTAACGTGCATATATGCACCAGTCAACTTTATATGGTTACCAATTAAAATTTTAATATTTCAAATGATTGATAAATATTGATATATCTATAAAAAATATATATACATTAGTTTTCATCGAAATAATTTAATAATATGCTCGTGAGATCACTTCAAAGCTTTCACATTTTAGACCTCATAAAAACGCCATGTTTGAGGGCTTCTTAGGGACATAAAAGAAAAATTTTTCATATTTTTCTTTTCCAGTTTTGAGGTACAATGTCTAAACTATATAAAAACCTATTTTATTATTTTTTAAAATAAAAACTACTCTGTTTAAAATGATATATAGGAGGTGGTGTATATATGCACCGTTAACCAGTAATGGAACAATTAATTAGAAATAAATTAAATTGTATTTCATGGAAATAATTTGCTAGCCAAAAAATAATTTAATTTTTTATGAATTTAAAATATTTTAATTTTTTATGTCCAATCTTCATATATTTCAAAATTGGTTTTAGGAGAAGTTATAAATATAATATCCTGAATGTTTAGTTTACCCCATTTTTTACCAAAACCATATTTACATATTAAAATATTCACTTTTTAAAATACAAGTTCTCATAAATAGTAATTTTTATTATGAATAACCGGCAAGGAGGGGGGGGGGGTTATGACGTAATATTGTTAAAATGAAAGGGTGCAGGGTTTGGACATTTATTAGTGGAATCTCAAAACTTTGGCAATATTTTCCTGGCTAAAATATTCAGTTTGCCGTTTTATACTAGTTTCGACATCTATATTTGCTTCCAATATTTTTTATACATTTGGGCAAAAATGATTGGTTAAATAAAGATGCTAAATCTAAATTATTTAGATATTTTTATTCGATATTTATACAAATTAAACGACTCGAGTTCACAATAAAATCAAGCCTTTTATCGAAAGAACGGCGTTT